ACATGCACGCACACATACATGCACGCACACACACACACACACACACACACACACACGTAAGCACACAACCACACAGCAACACGCCCACACCCCCACACGGCAACACACCCACATGCAGTGATGCACACATCCGCTGTTGACCTGACAAAGAAGTCCTTACGTACATGCACATGACAAATACGGAGCAGTTAAATTTTTGTGATCCAGAACTTGAACATCTTATCCACTGAAAAAAACTGAGGACTTTTGCCATTGAATTTTTCATTCCTTGCACTCACCTCCCATTCCTTGCTGCAAGAAGCGCTGCCTCATTCACGATATTCGCCAAGTCGGCGCCGGCACATCTGGGTGTCGCCAAAGCGACAATTCTGCAGATTCTTTCTGGTGGACCTTGGACTTTTACCTGTGCATGAGCGAGCAGATGCAGACAACCTCGCCATAATCAATCAAAATGTGCTTCCAGGAGGAGGAACTTAACCCACCCACCCACCACTGCCTCTTACCCCTGCCCCTGGTTACCAGCAATGAGCAAACCGTTCTTAAGTTGGTCCATTGCATTAACGATCTCATGGCAATAGGCTTGTTTTTCGTGTCTACTCAGCCTCTGCTGGGGTTGGCCTGATTTCCCGGCAGGTACCGGAGGTCAACACAACGGTGGTACCAAACCTCCAACCTAGCTCAGTCAATTGGTACACTCACAGACCGTTGAAATGCGGACCTGAGTTCCAAATCCAGTCCAGTCTGAAAGATTATACCCGTCAAGGCCGTCGCCTTTTTTCAAAGCAGAAGAAAAACAAGTGATTTTCGTTACATTCTCCTCCGTAAGCCATGACAGCGCTGCCAGCTGTCATTTCATGACGGTTTTCAATTCGTATCCAAGACAAAAGTTTATGATAGTTTGATATTTTTCTGAGGCTTCAGCCCTCGGTGGTGACCAAGAGGGGCCTCCCAGTGGAAGACGAGTCCCCTTCTAAGGGAAGGGCGCGGCTGCAAAATTTGGCTGGCCCTAAGTGAGCGGCCGGAATGATGCAGTTGGGAGGAAGGCTGGACCTCAGCCTCTCCAACTAACCACGAGGCCCACGCTCTGAGGTAGTTGAAGAGGCTGGGGCCCAGGACCAGACCCAGTAGGCACTCGGACGTTTCCTGGGGCCGCGGCCTCCAGAAAGAGACGAGAAGGGAGGTGGCCATGACATTCCACACATTCGCAGGTTCTGGCTGCCAGCACTAGATCTATTGGAGTGCGCAGCAGCCAGTCCAGCACTCATAGCTGCACTGCCCTGCCGCAGCCATAGCTGCAGGGGCTGAAGAGGGTCTCCGGCGATGAGATCGGGGTCCTCGGCGAAGGTCCCCGCGGTGCAGACAGGCGGACTTCCCTGGCGATTACGATACAGAGAGACAAGATTAGCATGGCCCCTACACAAGGACGACACGCGTAAGTCCAGAAATGTTCCAACAAATAACTATTAAAAAAATAAAAGGAAAAAATAGAAAACCGGTCAGGAACAGAATTTTTTGCTGCTCCATCATCCAAAATTTGCAAATACTAAACAACTCCCAAAAATTATTGAAAATTTTGGACCGCGAATAAAGCAAAACACTGGAGAATCGAACGTGAGAGATGGCTACGGTGGTGCCCAAGGACGGCAGCAGGCGCGTGAATAACCGAATAGTACTGACATACGGAGGTAGTGAAAACATAAATAACAATACTGGGATCGTTAGAGTCCGGTTAAAAAAGCCAAAAACAACACATTGGAGAATCTCCAACAATACAATCCAGCTCCGTGCAGCACTGACGTATAGACAAGGAGGGGGAGACCAAGTCAACAGCTTACTGGAGTCAGACCGCAATAGCAAGACGGCAATAGCAAGGGCCCGGACGAAGATAGGTGGTTCCGCCAAAAAAGAGCCACTTCCGTGAGATAGCACCTCGCAGTGTCTCACATTAGGAGCGAATACATTTATAGGGTCTCACATTATGTTGTCACTTCCTCCCTATGTCAGGATTGGGTAATTTACCCAATCCTGCTGCTGAAGGGTGATTCCTACGAGGTAGGCATAATACATTTATAGGGTCTCACATTATGTCATCACTACCTCCCTATGTCAGGATCGGGTGATTTACCCAATCCTGCTGTTGAAGGGTGATTCCTACGAGGAAGGCACCCCCGAATTAGTGCTGAATGGTCACAGGACCGTGATACGCAATCGGTCATGACCCCAATTGGGCCTGGTAGAGGCTCCGCTGCAGCTCCAGCTCTACAGTGAATTTGACAGGTAGACTACTCCTCATGCTGTCATTGTCATTTCAACCTAATGAACCACCGCTGTCCGTAACCGAAGTGCCTTGACAGCCTAAACCCTAAACCCTAAACCCTAATAGCAGACCACCGCTGGCAAATTCCGACAGCTTTATAGGCATTGCTGAGTTCACAAGGCAGCTGCAGTTCGCAGAAGTAGTACTCCGGACGGACCTCGAATTTAGGCCAGCAGGAGTGAAAGGATTCACGTGCCGGCGCAGTACTGCCCCGGTACCGTGTCCCGTTTGCGTTTGTACCTTAGGCCCCAAGGTAGAACTTTCCCATGGGTTCCGTACTTGGACAAAATAGAATTCAGATACGATAAGACCAGTAAGAACAGTACAGGGTTCTAGAAGTAGGGCTTCGCTGCGTGTCCAGTCCCTGTCCCATTGCAGCTCAGTCCCTGGGAAGTAGGTCACAACAGACCGAATTTCTGTCTGCCGCGGCAGGGCCTGGAAGGAAGATTCCAGAATCACCTGGGAGGCAGAGACACAGGCACAAAAGGAAGACGAGCGTCATGAACAGGAGTTTTTTCATTCTGCTCATGCGGGAGTTCTCCAGCGTTATCGAGAGGAGAGGGCAAGGATAATCAGAGAGGGATCGTGCCACCTGTGTCTGCGTGTGCGTGTGTGCGCATAGATGAAGGTGCAGCAGTATTCAGAGAGAGAGAGAGAGAGAGAGAGAGAGGTGCCAATGGCAATGATGGAAAAGTACTATTTGTGTGCGGAGAGAGAGAGAGAGAGAGAGAGAGAGAGAGAGAGGTGCCAATGGCAATGATGGAAAAGTACTATTTGTGTGTGGAGGGGGAGAGAGAGAGAGAGAGAGAGAGAGAGAGAGAGGGAGGGAGGGAGGGAGGGAGGGAGGGAGGGAATGCGCATGAAACTAACCACCACCTTTCGATTTCTTACATGAAGTTACATCCATCATTTCATCGTTCTGAACCTTTTTCAGAAATTTTCTCATCCTTGTGGAGGTGAGGAAAAGCAAATGAAAGTCGAGAAAAAAAAAAGAGAAACGAAAAGGAAAAGCAAAAGAAAGTCGAGAAAAAAATAAAGAGAAAAGAAAAGGAAAAGCAAAAGAGAGTCGAGAAAAAAAAAGAAAAGCAAAGGAAGAGGAGAATAATCGGACCTTTCGCAAATGAACCGCGAGAATTTCCTCTCGACCTTTAAGGTCCGGGGCTCCAACATACACTCGCCGGGAGATTCTTCCTGCTCGGCAAAGTGCAGGATCAAGAGACTGACCCCACCACCAGCACACAAAATCAAAACAAACAGAAGCAGAGAGTTGACATCAACATCAATGCAGCAGCCCAATCTGCAGAAAATAAGAGAATAAAAAAAATTATTATATGAATTTGTATCTTTTTTTTTTTTTCCGACCCTGCAACCGACACATGTAGCTTCAGGAGGTCTTGGGTTCAATCCCGATTGGCCTCATGCACCTTCCTGGGCAAGCTTGGTGCCCGCCACCTAGAGATATGCCGTTGGTCCCCCCGAGTGTCATTGAGCAGAGACTGCTGACGTCATAGGGGGAGGGGACCGGAGGGGAGGCACAGTGACTGGGCCATCGAAGAAGCTCGGTCCTGATGCTACCGGCTGACCCCTGGCCGACACGTGTAGCTTCAGGAGGTCTTGGGTTCAATCCCCATTGGCCTCATGCACCTTCCTGGGCAAGCTTGGTGCCCGCCACCTAGAGATATGCCGTTGGCCCCCCCGAGTGTCATTGAGCAGAGACTGCTGACGTTCATAGGGGGAGGGGACCGGAGGGGAGGAACAGTGACTGACCCATCGAAGAAGCTCGGTCCTGATGCTACCGGCTGACCCCTGGCCGGTATCGCCCACCTGCTGTAGCAGGTATCGCACCTGCTGGTGGGTGCAGCTCCCGCATGTTCCCTCGTTGGAGGCTTGAGCACGGATGTGGCTGCTACGGGGTTCCCGTAATACTATAATGACAATAAAAAAAGGCCGTCCTGTCCAGATTTGACAGGTAATTGAATTGGTTGGGCTTAAAGAATAAGCCATTAAAAAAAAAAAAAAAAAAGACACGTGTAGCTTCCATTCGCCAGAGGTGGGCATTTTTATTTTTCTTCCTCACCCGTGACCCATCCCACCCTTTTTTTTTTTGTACCACCCACACGACCCAAGAATTTCAATTTCCACCTCAAGATGACCCCACCCACCCAAAATGTTTCCTGAAATTCTGGCCCCGTGCCCCACCTACGCACCACTCGAAAAAGTCCTCACCCGGACCCACCCGCTTGAGCATGGATGTGGCTGCTACAGGGTTCCCCGTAATACTATAATGACAATAAAAAAGGCCTGAAAGACCGTCCTGTCCAGATTTGACAGGTAATTGAATTGGTTGGGGCTTAAAGAATTATCCTTTAACAGTTAAAAACAAACAAACAAAAAAAAAGACACGTGTAGCTTCCATTCGCCAGAGGTGGGCATTTTTATTTTTTTTCCTCACCCGTGACCCAACCCACCCATTTTTTTTTCGGTACCACCCACACACCCCAAGAATTTCAATTTCCACCTCAAGACGACCTCACCCATTCAAAATGTTTCCTGAAATTCTGGCCCCGTGCCCGACCTACCCGCCACTCAAAAAAGTCCTCACCCGGACCCACCCGCACACATGAGAACATCATCACCCGCCCGCACCCGCTCGTGCCGTAAATTATTGCCACCTGCACCCGCTCGTGCCGATGCAGCCCTGCCCACGACGACTCCACTGGTCGTCATATCTTTACCTTCCACCACCCGCCAGAGTCACTCCGTCATAGTGTCACGCAGCAGTAAGAAGGCCAGATCAATTGGGGGCGCGCGAGGGGCTGGATTGCTGGGGCGCGCTTTTGTTTTCTGGGCCCCGATGTCACAGGTGACCCTACATAACTATATCCAGGGCCGCTTTTTTGTTTCTCTCAACCTCGGGCCTGCGCACTGCACAGGTGGACCCAAGGCCTTTTTCCTTGTTTTTTTTGGGGGGGGCGTGAGGCATTTTTCGGGTGGTCCTGGGTCTATTGGTCGGATGACCCACGCCAACGCTTCACCCACCTGTCACCCAACCGACGGGTGACCCAGAACAAATGTTGACCCACCCATGACCCAGAAATGCACGCTAGCTGCATGCGCCCGTCACGCACCCAAGAAGGCATAGGTAGACCCAAACCCAACCCAATCACCTTCTGAGTCGGGTGGGCCAGGTGGGTGCGGCTATGGGTACCCGGTGCCCACCTCTCCCTTTCGCCTATCACAATGTTCCGTGCATCTTTGAACAGCCAGAAAGAAACAAAAAAAAACCTCTCGTATCCTGGAGAACGGTCCGAGAACCTTCTTTTTTTTCTTTTTTTTTTTCCCTTCGGCAACTTTGGTTTGCCTCATGGTTGTCAACCGGACGTCCGGATCGGGATCCGGACGGTCCGGTCTGGATGTCCGGATCCGGTGTTCGGTTTGGGAGGTCCAGTTGGGCGGCTTGGGCCCCATTTCCAGAAAATTCGATTTTTTTTTAGGGGTCCGCAGGCGATTTCCCTGTGCCTGGCAGACCCCCGAAAATTGTTGGCGCAGTTTTTGGTGGACCTGGGGCAAGCCGGACCGTCCCTGAAGAGCCTGTACTTGCGATCTTGGGTGAGCTTCAGTGGTCCAAGGAGAAGTGGTTGTTGGAGCCCGCCAGCGGGAAGAACCCATTTCAAACTTCATGAGCTACAGCCGTCCGCCCCACGCAGCACTACTCTCCAACAAAATGTCCGATTTATAAAGTTATTTAAAACCTTTTTGTATAACTTTGTAATGCAAATTCTCTGAATGGTTGAAGATTTTATGTCGTGTATTTTACTTCTGAAATTTAGTTGACGATTTGTGCAGTCCTGTGTCTGTGTGTGTGTGTGCGCGCGACACTTTGTGTGTATGTGACTGTGTTCAAGATGGATAACACAAGCACAGCAGTTTTATTTTTTTTTAATTTAATCCGGCCGTCCGACCTGATCATCTGTAACTTGACCGTCCGGGTCCGTGCGCCCGGTTGTCCACATCGGCGCCCTGATTATTACAGACACGGGTCCGGGCCCGGTGTCCGGTGTCTGCATGTCCGGGTCCGGGCCAACCATGGTTTTCCTTTACTATTTAATATCTATCCTTATGCATGCATGCAGTAGTTGTTGGCTCTTGGAAGTGACTCAAAAGAAACTTAGTCTCAAGAACTGCGACATGGACGCTGCAGTCAGGGTTAGGCCAGGCCGGAGTGCCTAGCTCATCCCAGAAGAATGTGGCATACTATGTAAGGGACGCTGGGCCCGTCTCCCAGCCTGTAATGAAATATGCCTATTGTTAAAAAAAAGAAAAAAAGAAAAATCACCTCCTCTCTCACCGAGAACAAGGACCCATACGTTGTTTCACGGAGGAGGGGAATAGTCACGCTCTTTTTTTTTTTTTTTTTTTTTGCCCGACGCATATGTAAAGCCAGGTCTGCAACTTTTATCTTCAAACTTCAAAGTCTCTCAGGACTTTGAGAAAATTCAAAATTTCCATCAAAACCTTTCTTTTAAAAAGAAAATAATTAAAGAAAATTTTCATTAGTAGTTTTTACTATTTTAGGAATAATAGGAACTTTTCAATCACTACATCAGTCGTGGATGGCATTTTCGGCGACTCAGCGCTTAATCCTATGAGGTCCCCAGCGTTGTCTCTCTATTGGTAATGCAAATGAATGTTTCATTCAAAAAGAAAGAAAAAAACATCCTGCATTCAGACTCGTCTCGATTTCACGTCCAACATGCATACATGCAGATGCCGATGGCAAAACAACTTCCTCAAAGGAGAATCAGCAACATGCATTCAAAGACGACGGCGGCCATAGCCGCCCGTGTGCAGAAGATAGAAGATAGAAGATAGTGTGTGTGAGTGCAGACATTCAGGCTAGATCCAAGTCTTGTGTGCGTACGTGCGTGTGAGTGTGTGTGATAGTGGATACAGTGTTCGGGTGGGAATTTTAGACTGGCGCTTAGATGCCACAGCTGCAAGATTTGACAAGTTGGCTCAACCCGGGCTCTCCTGCTGACCACCTGTGACTCAACGCACAAGTCACTCAAGCAGCACTTCCGCGTAGTTTGCCTCAGAATGAGTGAATGACCGATCACTGCCTCTATATTTATATTGTTTCGTTTGGTGGTCTCGGCCTGCCCAATGTCCCAGGCCCTCAAGATGTACAGTCCCACCCAATTCTGGTACTTCCTGCAAAACGGACTGGACTGGGACTACCTTTTCATGTGCCCCTTCGGGGCTGACTTAGGACTTTAGACCTTTCCGAGATTTGACGGGCTGCCTCTACTGACTTCGAGAGGTCACGTTGACTCTTTGAGACCTAACCTAGCCACGACCTGCTGACCTTTCAGAGGACGTACGGCCAGTTTACCTTTCGAAAGATCAACTGTATTAAACCAGCCTTTTCGGGACACGTACGGACGACCCTAAGACTTCTACGCAACAGACCTACGGATCCAATCCACACGACCCGGGCTTCACATACAAGGCATTTATACACGGGTTTGGGGACAGGTCGTGGGTTCAAGGCACACGGGGTCAACGAACAACACAAACGTACTGTACACTGGGTTGGGGAAAGTCTGGGGATCAAGCCCCGTTATCAGCAATTGTTGCACGAACTGGGTGAAACCCGTTCAATCCGATCCATGAAAGATAATGAGGTGCGCAAACTCACTATCAGAAACCTCTGTCAGAAAGAAATCAGCATGGCTTTGTCGAAAGAACAAAACAAAAAAAAAAAGGCGACGGGCCTAGCTCAGGTGGTACAACCACGAATACAGATCCAAGTTTGAATCCAGATGCAATCGGATGGACAGCATAAAATAATTATGAATTACCTGGGCCGGTCAGCTCAATAATGATACCTCAAGGCCGTTGCCTTTTTATGGAAAACGGAAAGGAAAAGTGTGAGGCAAAGGAGGAGGAAGAGGAGGGGGAGGAGGAGGAGGAGGAGGAGGAGGAGGAGGAGGAGGTGGTGGTGGAGGGGGAGGGGGAGGTGGGGGAGGKGGGGAAGGAGGAGGAGAGGGGGGAAGGAAGAGCGATAGTCACCTCAGGCCGATTAGTTGCTGCCAAGACGATGACTCCAGTATCGGATTCAAAACCATCCATCTCTGTCAACAACTGTACAACTCAAAGAGAGGCAATTCCACACACAATAATCACACATTAATTAATCACCATCATCAGCAAAAAAGGGACAGAAAGAAAAAACAGAATCGACTGAATTGAGTCAATACGAAACTGTTAATAACTTCTTACAAAGTATTAGAGAGAAAAATTGTGGCAAAAACTCGTAAAGAAAGATAAGAACGAAGCCTGACAAAAACTTCAGCAAAAAAGTGAAATGACTTTTTCAGATTTTTTCCCAAGTTTTACTAACTTGGTTGGAATTCCTAGTCGACATCGAGGCAGATCAAAATACGGTACCAAAAAAAACCGAATTGAAATATGAACTTAAAAATCTCACACGTCTCGCTCGCCAAGCAGGCAGCAAAATTTATCGACATTTATGATTTATCAACATTTGTGTGATTCATGGGGAAAAAACGTAAACATCCTATTCTATTGTTTACAAAACTTTCTACTAACTTTCTACTGTCTATAGCTAGTTTACAAAACTTTCTACTAACTTTCTAGTGTCTATAGCTATTTTATAAAACTTTCTACTAACTTTCTAGTGTCTATAGCTAGCTTATAACCTTTTGCTATTTTGTATAGTTCTGAACTTGCAAGTCACCGCAACACGTCAACTGCTCCAAAGTTAGGGAAGCCCGTCGCCACCCCCGTCCGAAACCACCTGCTACCAGGCGGGGGGTGGGGAACCTATATGCGGAAAATGCCCAGGTGCAGATCATCCACCTTCAATTCAGCCGAGTCATGGTCACAGGGTCGGTGGAATCATGTTTTTCAATTTTCCTTCGCCAATGTCCCAACCTCTGGCAAGCAGGGGTATTGTGATTGCCCCAGAGTTATAACTTTATAAAACACATGTCCAGAAAATTGTTCTCTCATTGGATGGATGGGAGGGACGAACGATGGGGTGGGCAAAGTGGCAGAGACGAGGAAGCACACAGGAGAGAGGGAGTGGCAAAAGAGATGCACACAGAGAGCGGGTACGAGAGAGAGAGAGAAGTGGAAAGAAGAGAGGCGAAGGAAGAGAGGAGGGGAGAGGACAGGAGAGGAGAGGAGGGAGTAGAGAGGAAGAGTGCATGTGCGCAAGTGAAACACCCGGAAAGCAGCCACAAAGGAGAGCGAAACGGGAGGGGAGAGAGCAGACGGGAGGGGAGAGAGAGCAGACCGGAAGGGAGAGCGATGAGAGGGCAAGACGAGGAGAGAGCAGGAATCGATCTCAAGTCAGAAGTAACTACGAAGTGCGGGGTCCTTCGGGAAATCCGTTAAAATTGGAACGATAAAGGGAGGATTAGCATGGGCCCTGCGCAAGGAGGAAAGTTCATGAACCATGCATAAATCGAGCAATGATCCAAACTATGGAATGCAGTCACAATAGTCAACAACAAGAGTAGTTGATGAAGCGTTGAAACTTGAAACATCATAAGGGCCAACAAGAAAATCTGAAGAGGCAACAGAAAAGGGGAAATGACAGCGAAGACTGTACTGTATGAGGTCCTAGTCACACCAGGACATTCCTGGATATACCTGACTATAATTAGAACGTCGCCTGGATGAATCCGGTTGTAGTCAAGTCCTGATCATGGGTGAAAATGGCCTGCTGTAGTGTAAGTATCCTCTCGAGTCTGTATCATCATATCATAATTCATAACAATGATTCTCCTGTCCGAAGAAGGCACAACCCCCCACTGTCAATTGGTGCACTTTTTATTTCTTTTCCTCAAAATTATTGAAAAAAATATATATGGCAGCTCCGTTTGACTGTATATATCGTATATAGTCAAACAGAGCTGCCCGGTAAACCTAGGCAGAGAGGGAGAAGAGGACAACAAAAGAGGGGCTGTGACAATATATATTGTCACATAACTACAAACTAAAAGAGCACACTTTGCGAAACAAAGAATAAAAACAAAAAACGGGCACATTGCAAAAATAAAAACAAAAACAAAAAGAAGAAGCAAGGGCAGATTGAAACCATTAAATTTCTCATTCTTCTTTGAACTCCACCTCCACTGTGCCTCCCACGTGCAAGGCTCGCCACGTTGATGAAGTTGAGCGTGAGCTGCCCCCATCCCCGTATGCCATAACAGCCCACTTGCACGCTGTGAGAGAGGCAGAGTGAAGGGGAAGGTGTTAAACACAGGGAAAAG